GGTTTGACAGCGAAAAACAATATTTTTTTAAAATTTTTAAGTATGCGCGATTTTCGATGGTTTTAAAAATTATTGAAATTTTATCGGTTTTGAACTGGTGTTGTCCTGATTCGGATGTAAAGCCCGTCGTCGATTGGAATTGCTTTTTTTTAATTGATTTTTTTTCGTTTTATTTGATTCTTTACTCATACATTATTGCTTTACCAAATCAAATTTAATTTATCTTGGATTTTTGGTCAACCAATTAAGGTAAACTGTATTAACTCTTTATACCCCTTGTGTAACTCCTAGTACTCCTTAAACGGAGCTGTTAAATTTAAGAACATTCTCGCCAGGGCCGGACTGAAAAAAGTTCTCTATTAAACTGGGTCGTTCAAAACTCATTACTTCCAGATAAAACAGGAATCATTCATCATTCTGAGTGGCCTTTTGTTTTTTATTCGTTAGACATAAAGACAGTTACTTTTAAAAAAAGGATATAAAAAAAATTCATTTAGTGCCAAAAATAATTTTTTTCTATAGTTATTTCAAGTACTTATTTAAATACATTTTCGAAGTGCAAGTGACCTTTAAACAACAAGAATTTTTCTGGCCCAAAAATTTAATTATGTAAGTATAAATAAATTAAATAAAAATCCCCTTTGCCCCCAGCTGGGTCTAAATTCTTTAGGTCTCGGGCAAATTCAACAGCTCTGGCCAAAAATCCAACGTGTTAGTAAACTTTTCTCTGGATTAGTTACCTCCTGTAGATAAATATTGTGAGTAGAGAATACTTAAGGACTTTGACCGAAATTTATAATCAATATTTGTCAAACAGGGTAAGGAATTTCATTATACACTAAGTTTAGCGACCTATACGATTTTCTATGACATTGTTAGTTACTTAATAGTAGATTAATATGCAACATTAATTTGAAATCATTTTTTCGATTTTTTATTTACCCACTACAAACTTCCTCAAATAAATGAGGGAAAAATTTTGTTGCTATTGTCAGACCCCACCGGGAATCGAACCAGGGACCTTTGGCTTTACGCACCAATATAATGACCACTAAACTACGAAAGGTGACAACGGCAACTACGACCAACCGACCTACAAGGNGTCCCGGGTTCGATTCCCGGCGGGGGTCTCACAACAGCAACAAAATTTTTCCCTCATTAATTTGAGGTAGTTTGTAGTGGATAAATAAAAAAACGAAAAAAATATTTTTAAATTAATATTCTATACGATTTTGTTAAAAATAGTGACTTAATATTGCTTTACGGTTTCTCGTAGACTTATACGTTAGGAGAATGGTCCACAATTGTTTATTATTGTTATTACTTTTGGTAAAATACCCAACGTTGGCATCATCTGAAAACGCCGACATTTGTAAAAATTCAAACGAAGACACGTTGGTTCCTGGGGATGTGTTTATAAATTTACTGGTGTCATCATGTGAAGAGAACGAATTCAATACATTATTCGAGCCACCAACAGAAACTTATGTAGAAAGCGCATCTTGGGTAGTTTCTCATCTCAACAATCTCAATTTTACTCACCCGTTTGTGTTGGGACTGAAAACTTTCGAAATTTGCAACGAGTATGATTACCAAAAAACAATCTTCGACGCCTATAGCCTACGAGAGAAATCAAAATCGTTAGGATTAATTTCATTCGAAGAGATCTTGGACAAGGATTTAGAATTCAGTAAGATGTTAAATGTCACAATCACACGCGTAGATAAACACTGGAATTACCTTGTCAAAGCGAGCGTGAGGGTTATAGAAAATTTAGACTGGAAAGAACCTATTACCGTTATATCGGAGAATGAAAGAATTATCAAAGAATTTAACAAATTAGCCAGGAGGTCATGGATGTGTGTCGAGGATGCGTTTGTATGGAGGTAAGGGAACATGTTACCTAACTTGAATTTAAGAAAACACAAAAGAAAATGTATATTGGGTAGATACCCGAAAAAGTTGATAATTTTGAGATCGAAATTTTGACGACGTCGAAGAGAAATCACAGTCTAGTAAATTATCATTTCATCAGTTGGGCACGCCGCCTTTACTCGTTTCTCTCCTGAACCAAACTTCATGCTTTTTTTTTTAAACTATAGTTACGAACTGAAATCTAGATCTCCTCCTGCTCCCTATTTCTACTATTTCTGCATCTAATATATCTCTAACTAGCCCTTCATGCCTCAAAAGATAAATATTCTGCCATCCCATAGTTGGGATGTTCAAAATTGGCATAGTTCACAGTAAAACTTCCGCATTTACTTTCTACTAGAACGGTTGCTGACAGAACCCCTACTTTTACTCACGCCAGACGTTGTAGGAAATATCATAAAATAGAAAAGAGATGTCAGTTAGGAATTGCAGCGGACACTAATAAAGAAAAAGGAATAACAGAAGGAGATGGAGACAGGCAGGATTTGAGCACGTTGCTTGGAAAATTCAACATTCTTAGGAATTTAGGAAAGCAAAACGTTTTTTTAAAGATACGAGGGTGGATTGATAAGTTTCCGGCCTAACCAAGAGATGACGCCACTAGGCCTACCTTGAGGTGACATTCTATAGTACCATCCTTGGATAGCTTGTAGCTATAGTTTCAGCCCGATCTCCTTGCTAGTGTAGGTTTGACAGCACGCTGAACAAGACGCCTCTGTGGTTTTCGTAAAAATGGAAAAGCAGGAAAATCGTGCTGTCATCAAATACTTTTATTTGAAGGGGTTAACGCCGAAGGAAATTAAAAAAGAGATGGACTCAACACTGGGGACATCCTCCCCGTCATATTCAACCGTTAAGCAGTGGGTTTCCGAGTTTAAAAAGGGTCGTGTGAGCACCTCTGATGGGCCTCGCTCAGGACGCCCCGTTGAGGTCACAACTCCAGATATGATCGAAAAAATTCATCAAATAGTGCTGGGAGACCGCAGATTGAAAGTGCGTGAGATAGCTGAGACCTGTAAGATGTCATATGAACGTGTGCAACATATTTTGCACCAACATTTGCATATGGAAAAGCTCTGTGCAAGATGGGTGCCGCGTTTGCTAACAGTCGACCAAAAATTGATTCGAAAAAACATTTCTACCGCAAATTTGTCATTGTATAAGCGTAATCCAAGCGAATTTTTGCGTCGATTCGTAACCGTTGACGAAACGTGGGTCCACCACTACACTCCTGAAACCAAAGAACAGTCTAAACAGTGGATTGGACCAGGGGAACCAACTCCAAAGAAGGCAAAAACAATTTTTTCGGCGAACAAGGTTATGGCTACGGTTTTTTGGGATGCAAGAGGTATTATATACATTGATTACCTTGCAAAGGGTAATACTATCACTGGTCAATACTACGCAGACTTATTGCAACGTTTGAGCCACGAGGTGAAAATTAAACGACCTCATCTGGCGAAGAAAAAAATCTTGTTTCATCACGATAACGCACCAGCGCACACGTCAATCGTTGCGACGGCTAAAATCAACGATCTAAAGTTTGAATTGATGCCGCACCCTCCTTACTCTCCAGACCTAGCCCCGAGTGACTATTTTCTGTTCCCTAATCTCAAAAAATGGCTTGGCGGTAAGAGATTTGCGGACAATGAAGAAGTAATCGAAGCTGTAAATGGTTATTTTGAGGAGCTTGACGAATCAGTCTATAGAGATGGCATTAATAGACTGGAACACCGCTATGAGAAATGTATCAGCCTTGGAGGAGATTATGTTGAGAAATAAAAAAAAAAAATTTTTAAAAACCTTGTTTTTCTTGGTCAGGCCGGAAACTTATCAATCCACCCTCGTATATTTCCAACTAGGCAGTTATAAAGCCGACCCTGATATTTTGCTAACCTAAGCAACCGCTGCACCACTTCGATTGATTATCTCTTTTTAATTGGTCTGTACCCTGCATAAGGCATTTTCTAACTTAACAAGGGCGTGTTCAAAATGCAACAAATTACTACAATACCAAGTGAAAACAAGAAAGAAGATACGTCCATTCCAACAAATAATTTATTACCGACTTTGCCAATTTTGACCATCCCAACTATATCTGACTGACAATTATCTTTTCTTTTGAAATTTTATAAGCACTACAGTGCTCGACCTTAAAACTTCAATGGATTATTAGGTAGATACATCTTCTGTAGAAGCTACCCCCACTAATCAGAATCAGGATGAGATTTTTATTGGTCTTATTCCTTAGATCAGATTGCATGCTATGAGATTTTTAGCTTGCTTACAATTGTACTATTTGAAGATTTTGCAACTTAAAAAATTGTCTTAAAGTTACACATAATTAGACAAATATGTAAATAATACACACCTAGTGATATCGAATTCTGTTTTAGAGGAGATAATTTACCGAAAAAGGATGATGGTTTATTGCTGGTAGTTTTTGGTAGCAGTCGTTTTATAAACACAGTTTTAAATTTTAAAAAATACGTTTATAGAAAGATTCTGGTTGTACCATTGGATGGATCCAATTTAAAAGGTATCTACTTGTACCTACAAATTCATTCTTAGCTCATTAATCCAGAACTGACATCTTTAGAATCGTATATTTACATTACCCTGCGTTTTCTTTTTGATATTATGTAAACAATAATATTCCTTAAACTACAGGGCGTGCGAGATAGCTCAATGATGTTCATGCGTCAGTCACAATTAATTTCACCAGAAACTCTTTATATCAATACAAAATTTGAAAATTAATTTAGAATATCACAATCCAGTACCGTATCAAAAGCATTCACATAAGCATAAACCCATTAACACATTATTATTATTAAAAGTGTCTTATTAAATTCACCTTTTCGCAATTTTGTTATAATCCTGCAAACAATTGTAGAAATTAACTAGATCATCCCTAGTGCTGGAATTTCGTAACCTGTGATTTTGTCACAGTGACAGCAATCCAGATTCCAGAGTGGGAGCAGATAGCAAAGCGATCTCATTCACGCAAAAGTTCTGGTTCACACTCACGCTCGCGAATTATACCATTCCGTAGCTCCGCGACCGCATGTTGAAGCTGCGGAACTTCCGCAGACTTGGACCCAATCGTACGGTCTACAGAACGGAGTTTCTTGTGGCAGCTTCATTGTGACAAAATCACAGGTTCTTGTCACTGTAACTTTTCCAAAGCAGTCACGAGAGAGCATTTCCCTATTCCCTAGTGCAAATAACACTGAAAATACTTTACTTCTCTGTTCTTTGGCAGAGCTTCCAGCTAACACAATATTCATCCAAGAGCCGCATTCAAAACAATCCGACCAAAACTCCACTTCTACTTTGAAACCGCCTCAAACACCACTCCTGTTAGACGTCGCCAACGTGATACTAAATTTCGTTCGATCGTTCCTTATGGGCAACTGCAGCATCGTTAAAGAGGATTGTTCGAAACGGTTTCAAAAAGAATACATTCCGCCTTTCAAAATCATACAAACATTGAAACTGGAAGATGTTAGAGACATATTCAGTTACAACGTTTACCAAACAAAATGGTACCATGTTAAAACTGGCAATGAAACTCAACAGACGAAGACCATAAACAAATTGTTTTCGTATAACATTTTCGAAAATAATTTGGTAGATTCGGAACATAACGCTTCTTCCTCAACAAATGTTTCTAATAGACATGTTAACATGTGTTCGACCACGTTGGACGATTGTTTACAGGACTGTGTCAACATTAGGGAAAAAATTGTCCAGAAATCTGTGTTAGGGTCTCGATTGTTCGGAGATATAATCCTGCGGTCTGAGTCCTGGCTTTACGGTTTCGTTTCTATAGCTGTTTTAGGAATAATTTTCTGCATTTCAACTCTCATATTCTTTGCAATATCGATGATAAAAAGGATAGTTTTTGAAGGCAACCCTGCCATAACCCTTCTCTTAATCCTTTCCATCATAAGTATTTATTGTTCAATAATCCCTTTCACTGTGGTTGGTGGAAACGATACGGGATACTTCATCTGCTTGTACAGGACCCTTAGTGTCTCATTGAGTTACGCTGCTGCATTTTCATTGTTACTCTCCAGGTCCATAGTCCTTGCCACAATTTCTAAGGAACTGGGGTATATGTCCCACGCTTCTGGACCAGTCCAGGCTTTCCTGTGTTTATTTATTTTTGCTGTACAATGTGCCTTATCATTACAATACTTCAACAAATGCCAGGCGTTCTTCGACACGTTATTGTTCCTTTATTCCTTATCGTACAATGTGATTTTGTTGGTACTTTTTCTCTGCATTTCGCCACTGATCTATCAATCCCAAAGGAATTACAGAGAAGGGAAGTATTTTGCCGTTTCTGCGGTTTGTATGACGGCAGCTTGGATTTTTTGGATTTTGGGATACGTGTTTCTGGGACCGGAATGGAGAGACCCGATGGTATGCCTGGGCTTGGTCAGTACAGCAAGTATATTGGTCGGAGCTGTTTTGATTCCTAGAACATACTTGATGACTGTGTCGGCCACGAGGAATAAAATAACAAATGCTCTTCCAACTCTACAAACTTCGTCTAGTATCATGGATATTTACAAAGCGAGCACGCAGGTTAGTATGTAACTGACCATGAAAATTAATTGTTGAATAATAAATCACTTAGGCAAGGGAGTTGATGAAAATAAGTTTTAATTAATCTAGATATTAAGTTAATGACAAAATTCAAGGTTTTCCAAAAAATAAAACCAAGAATGAACTTGTTAATTTATATATATAGGGTTGTTCGGAAAGTCATTTCGTTTTTTTTTGTGGAAATGAAAGACCGTTTTCGTATAATAAACAAATACTCTATTAAATTATATATTGACCGTTCTGGTCCAACACCTTTTGCCATCTTTCTGGTAGTAGCATAATTCCACGCTCATAAAATTTTTGGTCTTTGCTGGCAAAAAACTGATCGAGGAG